CTGAAGGGGTGGCAAAGAGTTCATCATTCTGCGAGCTCCATACGAGAAGGATGGTATAGAAGCCAGTCCATTTCGTTTCACATAAGAGGGGTTAGAGTAAGCATAAGAGTATGCAGAGAAATTCTTCGAGGACTTATGGACATAATGCTTTGAAGAATAATGCACATATCCATAATCCTTAGATCTTCCCTGTGAAACAGACGGGTTAGCCCGATGATGTTCATATGAGGACTTTGATCCATATGAGGAATTTGGTCCGTATGAGGACTTGAATCCATATGAAGAATTTGGTCCATATGAAGAATTTGATCTGGGGTTCCTATTCTTCACAGGTGGCGTCATGATGACATTCTCCTGAAGATTTTCAAGGCATTTTTTGGGAACCCAGATTTTCTTCATAGGGGAGTCGTTCCTGCAGTTAGTGCCAACATATCTAGCAAATACTTCACCATTCTGATTTTTGAACAGTTTATAGTTGGAGTCAATTGACTCATCATCAGAATGAGGAGATTCGCATGCAAATCCAGATAAGTTAGATGGATCAACTGGAGGTCCCTTTGCAGCAACCCATGTAGTTTTGGGATACTGCTCAGGCTTCTAATATGTACCATCAGCATTGAGTTTCCTCTCAAAGGCGATACCCTCTTTCCTAGGGTTCCTGTTGAGGATCTGCTTTTTAAGCACATCACAAAGAGCCTGATACCCTTTGAGGCTTTTGTACATGCCTGTCATGTACAATTCCTTCAGCCCTGCATTGTCAGTGATACTAGCAATGTCCTCAGATGAGGAATTAGTGATAGCAGAGGCATGTGAAGAATTTGAAACATTAGCAGCATTTGAACATTCAGGTGAAGAATTAGCAGATTCACGTTCAATGCACTTCAAGCATGGAGGAACAAATTCTTCCTGAAAAGCGCTGATTTGTTGAGCAAGTAATGAATCGCGCTTCTTCTGAAGATATTCATAACTCACTCTTAGCTTCTCAAGGTCTTGCTTTCTTTGAAGAATTTCATAAGAAAGCTTCTCATGATCGGATAAGAGAGTGTTATGATGACTTTGAAGATTGTCAAACCTAGTCTGAAATCTCTGAAGATTTTCAGTCAGGGCTTTAGTGCGATCCACTTCTTCACCCAACATATCATCAATTTTATCTAGCATGTTTTGAACCTTTTCTAAAGCATTTATTGTTTTACAGGAATCTTAGCTAGTTTAGAATAGCTGGGCTTAAGATTTTCATCAGATTCATTCTCACTTGATTCAGATGAGGTATATTTGAGTACCTTGGCACCCTTTGCCATGAAGCAGTAGGTGGGAGCGTAGTCATCATCCCCTTCATCAGCTTTGTTGGTGAGGTTATTTTCTTCAGTGTTGAAGATAGACTTGCTGACGAAAGCAGTAGCGAGAGCTAGGCTCGCCACTCCAGATCCGGACTCCTCAGATGACTCCTCTTCCTCATTTTCTTCAGATTCAGCCTCAGAGTCCATTTCCTTGCCAATGAATGCCCTGGCCTTCTTGGAGCTGCTCTTCTTGTGATATGAAGGCTTTGAGGATTTTGATGATGAGGATTTTGAGGATTTCTTTTTTTTCTTCGCATCATCAGAACTGTAATCCTTGTATTTCTTCTTCTTTGATTCCTTTTCCCATTGAGGATAGTCTTGAATGTAATGTCCAGACTTCTTGCATTTGTGGCAGAGCCTCCTCTTGTAGTCACTTGATGAGGAATCATTGCTCCTTGAGGGTCTTCCAAGGCAATCACGTCTTGAGAACTTTTGGAACTTCTTCACGAGCAGAGCCAGATCATGGCTCAGTTCTTCAGGATCACCAAGACTGCTATCAGAGTTTTCATCTTCGGACTCAGATACTGCCTTGACCTTTAGTGCATGTGATCTGCCATAGCTTGAACCATAAAGATCTCTCTTTTCAGCAAGTTGGAACTCATGAGTATTTAGCCTCTCAAGAATATCAGCGGGATCAAGTGACTTGTAATTAGCACGTTCTTGTATCATTAATGCCAGAGTGTCAAATGAGGAATCAAGCGATCTGAGCAATTTCTTCACCACCTCATGGTCGGTGATGTTAGTGGCACCAAGTGCTTGAAGCTCATTTGAGATGTCAGTGAGGCGATCGAAGGTTTGTTGAACATTTTCATTGTCGAGTCTTTTGAAGCGGTTGAAGAGATTGCGAAGAATATCAACTCGAGAGTCACGCTGAGTTGAGACTCCTTCATTCACTTTGGACAACCTGTCCCAGATAAGCTTCACTGTCTTCAAAGCACTCACTCTGCCATACTGTCCTTTGCTCAGATGGCCACATATGATATTCTTCGCTAGAGAGTCGAGTTGCTTGAATCTCTTCACATCAGCAGCATTCAGAGAAGGTGTGACCGAGGGAACACCATTTTCCACAACATACCAGAGATCGTTATCAATTGCTTCAAGATGCATTTGCATCTTATTCTTCCAGTAGGGGTAGTCCGTCCCATCGAAGGTAGGACACCCAGCAGAGACCTTGATCATACCTGCGGTCGACATAACTAAAACTCTAGGCGGTTAAATCAAAATCACACAGAACAAGGGAGTACCAGGCTCTGATACCAATTGAAAGTGCGTTATATCGACTAGAGGGAGGGGTGAATAGGCGATTTTTATGAAATTCTTCACTAAGGAATTTGTTGGTGAGGAAATTCCTTAGCGAAGAACTACTAGCAGCGGAATAAGTACTCAAAAGTAAACATAGCAGAATACAAGCATAGTCATCAGGATGAAATGAAGACAGACACGGAGTACAGGAAGAGTAATCACAGGATAACACAGGATGAAGACAAACAGACTGAAGAAATTGAACTGAGGAAACTGAAAAAGTCTTCAATCAAAGTCTTCAAACACAGATATGAACAAACACACAACACAGTTATGAGGAAATGAAAGAGTTGAGGGAATAGAACCAGTAAGCTTGGTGAAGACAATGATTTGGTAGACCAGTTCCAACTGCTGTCTCAGTTGTACGTCTGGTTGGAGCGGCTGAGTATTTAAACTCGAGGACGCACAGTCCCGGACACCCAGTACCGAACACGCAACTCAGGACACCCAGTCCTCACCGTATTCTCCTTGAACTAAGGTCACACAGACCTCGTCCAATCACTTATGGTAAGTCTTCAGGCGACTTCCAAACCTTCACAAACTTGGTCACTCGGCGATCCACAATTCCTTTTGGATGCTCTAGACCATGACGTCTAACCGTCTGGAAGAAGCACAGTCTTCAAAGGTAACAAGCGTCGGATCCGCGCAGAATCAATCTCTTCAGTGATGCTCAATCACTTGGGGTTTGTAGGTGTTTGGGTTTTGGGTTTTTGGTTTTTCCTCACTTGATGATTTTCGCTCAAAGTCCTCAGAGGATGGGTTGCTCTCAAATGACAAGTGTCAATTTCTCTCGGAGCAGCCAACCAGCTAGTGGTTGTAGGAGGCGGCTATTTATAGCCTAGGGAACAGCCCGGCATGATAAGACATAAATGTCCTTCAATGATATGACCGTTAGGTGGATAGATATTTTGGGACAGCTGGCGCATAGCACAGCAACGGTCGGAATTTTGAGTAGCAAAATCCTCAGGGCTATCATGTTCCTCACTGTATAGGCAATCCGCACTGGCGAATTCCTAACTCCTCAGTCAAGACAAATTTCTCATAGACCAGAAGAACTTCGTCTCTGTCACTGAAAAAATTGACTGAACTGTATGAGATTTCCAATGGCTTTACTCGAAGGGATTGGTAGGTGTAGGATTTTGAGTTGAGCATCACATGGAAATTTTTCCTTGGTATTTCCTCGACCCCTTTAACAGTACGGTGTTTCCTATAACTTAAGAAAGAGAAAAAACAAAACTACGAAAACGAAAGTCTTCAAGCTTCATATTCCTTGCATGAATATCAAGTCTTCACGGACACGCCAATTTTTTCACTTTTAAAGTCTTCATAAAAGTCTTCAGAAATATCAAAATCTTCAGTCAAAGATATTTATTTTTAGGGGTCGACTTTTCCTGTAAATATCGAACTCCTTATAGACTTATAGACCTGTGTATACTCGTAAACGCATTAGTCCCTTAACCTATAAGTCTTCAATACATCAAAATCACTAAGAGGCACTAGATGCACTTACAACACTGTATGTAACATTTCCATAAAAACCATGGTGGAAACACTTCCGTAAAAACGAACATGAAACGCTTTTGTAAAACTGAACATGAAACGTTTTCATAAAAACCAACAAGTACTATAGCTGTTCGTTTTTAAGAAAGCGTTTCCATCATGGTTTTGTGAAACTTCTGCCCTCTTTTTTTCTTTTCTTGTTTTTTCGATTTACTCAATTTGTCTGATTGTTTTTCTCTAGTTTGTGTTTCACCGGTTTTTGTTTTGTTGGTTTGTTTTTCCTTTTCACCCTTTTCTAGTTTCTGTTTTCTTTTTCATTTTTCTTCTAATCTCTTTTTATTTTGTTATTTTTTTGCAAATTTAAGATTTTTTTTCAAACTTGCAACCTTTTTCAAATCTGTGAACTTTTTTCAAAATCACGAACTTCCCTAAATTCCTTGATTTTTTCAAATTTACTCACTTCCAAAAATTAGTGAACCTTTTTAGATTCACGAACTTTCTTCAAATTCACACACTTTCTTCAAATTCATTATCTATTTAAAAAAAATGGTGAACATTTTTTAAAATTAGTAAACTGTTTGTGGTACTATAAAGCGGGGAACCCTTTTTCGGTAATCAAGGACAACGAACTGGTAATATATTTCTCATCTCCTGAACTCAAGCAAAAACAACATACTACAAGAACCACATGTGTATGTCGTTCTTGCGTTTACACATTATTTATCATATCCTCTACTAACCTAGTTGTACATCATTCCCTCGAAAAAACTACACTCATACAAGCATCCTCGTTATTCGACAGAGCCACACGACCACAGGCGACCGAACACAGTACCACTCCAGGGACCTGTCACGACTCACTTAGTCCACTTCTTCGATCTTGGGCCCGGCACCGCTCCCGCCGCCGGTGCCCGCGCCGCCGCCGGGCATGTCCTCGTCCATGCCGGCCGCGCCGCCCGGGCCGGCGCCCTGGTACATCTTGGAGATGATGGGGTTGCAGATGCTCTCCAGCTCCTTCATCTTGTCCTCGAACTCGTCCGCCTCGGCGAGCTGGTTGCCGTCGAGCCACTTGATGGCGTCCTCGATCGAGTCCTCGATCTTCTTCTTGTCGTCGGCGGGGAGCTTGGACGCGATCTTGTCGTCCCGCAGCGTGTTGCGCATGTTGTACGCGTAGTTCTCCAGCGCGTTGCGGGCCTCCACCTTGTGCCGCACCTGCTCGTCCTCCGACTTGTACTTCTCCGCCTCCTGCACCATGCGCTCGATCTCCTCCTTGCTCAGCCGACCCTTGTCGTTGGTGATGGTGATCTTGTTCTTCTGTCCCGTCGTCTTGTCCTCTGCCGACACGTTCAGGATGCCGTTCGCGTCGATGTCGAAGGTCACCGTGATCTGGGGCACGCCCCTGGGCGCCGGCGGGATGCCGGACAGCTCGAACTTGCCCAGCAGGTTGTTGTCCTTGGTCCTCGTCCTCTCGCCCTCGTACACCTGGATCAGCACGCCGGGCTGGTTGTCCGAGTAGGTGGAGAAGACCTGCTCCTTCTTGGTTGGGATGGTGGTGTTCCTCGGGATCAGGGTGGTCATCACGCCTCCGGCCGTCTCCAACCCGAGCGAGAGCGGCGTCACGTCGAGCAGGAGCAGGTCCTGCACCTTTTGGTTGCCCTCGCCGCTGAGGATGGCGGCCTGCACGGCGGCGCCGTACGCGACGGCCTCGTCGGGGTTGATGCTCTTGCAGAGCTCCTTCCCGTTGAAGAAGTCCTGGAGGAGCTGCTGCACCTTGGGGATCCGGGTGGAGCCTCCGACGAGCACGATGTCGTGGATTTGGGTCTTGTCCATCTTGGCGTCCCGGAGGCACTTCTCCACGGGCTCCATGCACTTGCGGAAGAGGTCCATGTTGAGCTCCTCGAACCTGGCACGGGTGATGGTCGCGTAGAAGTCGATCCCCTCGTACAGCGAGTCGATCTCAATGGTGGTCTGGGCGGTGGAAGAGAGCGTCCTCTTGGCCCTCTCGCACGCCGTCCTCAGCCGCCGGAGCGCCCTTGGGTTGCCGCTGATGTCCTTCTTGTTCTTCCTCTTGAACTCTTGCACGAAGTGGTTCACCATCCGGTTGTCGAAGTCCTCGCCTCCCAGGTGGGTGTCGCCGGCGGTGGACTTGACCTCGAATATGCCTTCCTCGATGGTGAGGATGGACACGTCGAAGGTGCCGCCGCCGAGGTCGAAGATGAGCACGTTCTTCTCCCCGGTGCTGGTGGCCTTCTTGTCGAGGCCGTAGGCGATGGCCGCGGCGGTGGGCTCGTTGATTATGCGCATGACGTTGAGGCCCGCGATCACGCCGGCGTCCTTGGTGGCCTGGCGCTGGGAGTCGTTGAAGTAGGCCGGGACGGTGACGACGGCGTTGTTGATGGTCGTGCTGAGGAAGGCCTCGGCGATCTCCCTCATCTTGGTGAGCACCATGGAGGATATCTCCTCAGCAGAGAAGGTCTTCTCCTCCCCCTTGTAGGTGACCACGATCATCGGCTTGTCGCCGGCGCCGGGGACCACCTTGAACGGCCACATCTTCATGTCCGACTGTACGGATGCGTCCGAGAAGCGCCGTCCGATGAGTCGCTTGGCATCTGCATGGCAGAGCAGCAGAGTGGTAAGTGACTGCTCAGAAGCGTAAAACAGAGTAGAAGGCAGAGCACGTACTATCACTACACGAGCATGGATTCTACTACTTACAGTATAAGATAAGAGACCGAGGCAGGCCGGGCTTACCAAAAACGGTGTTGGTGGGGTTCATGGCGACCTGGTTCTTGGCGGCGTCGCCGATGAGCCGCTCGGTGTCGGTGAAGGCGACGTAGGACGGCGTGGTGCGGTTGCCCTGGTCGTTGGCGACGATCTCCACCCGATCATGCTGCCAGACGCCGACGCAGGAGTAGGTGGTGCCGAGGTCGATGCCGATGGCAGGGCCCTCCCCCTTGTTGCCTCCCTTGCTCGCCATCTTCTCCGATCAAATCGAACGCAAGATTCGAGACTGTCTGTGACTGATCGAGTTGTTCTTTCGGTTCGCTCGGTGGATGTGGATATGCTCTGGTTTGCTCTCTGAATTGAGTTGATTGATGATGGAAGGGACGAAGGGGGTGCGGTTCTTATATACCCGCAAGAGCGGTGGGAGCTCGGGAAGGTTCGCGCGGGAGATGAGGTGGGCGGTTCAGGCTCGGCGCCGGGTGGAGGGTTCGGGTGCACGCGCGACACCTCCAGAGCGGTGCCTGCTTCTCTCGGTCGGTCCCCGGTTTCGTGCGCCGCTTTGGGCTGGATTGGGTTTGGTGAGTCCGCTCTGGTGGGTTCCCGCGCCAAGTGGAGATTACTAGAATTATGTAGGTGATTACGGCTTGGAGCCAAGTGGCGAGTTTAGGATGAGTCGTTTTGTTTAGGGAAATGAGTAAAATCAACCGACTGATTTTGTTGAAAGATCAGCCGCTTCGTTCGGCTGCCATGTACCCCATCACATGTGTGTGGTGAGTCTTTCATTGTTGGTGCTGTAAAGCACGCCACATGTGCTTCGATGGAGCTTCCACATATGGTTGTCGGCGCTACGACAACATCGTGTTGCGGCGGGAGCATCGCGTGGGCCGGTGGTGCTGCGATGGAGCATCATCGGCTCTGCGACTATGAACGCGACGGGTCGGCCGATGGTGCTACAACTCCAGCGATATGACACAGCTGCCAGTGCTGCAATGGAGCATCGCTGGCTCTGTGACGTGAATGTGATGGGGCGGCCGATGGTACTGCAACTTCGGCGATGTTACGCGGCCGTCGGTGCTGCAATGGAGCATCGCCGGATCTGTGATGATGAATGCGATAGGGCGGCCGTTGGTACTACAACTCCGGCGATGTTACGCTGTCGTCGGTGCTGCAATGGAGCATCGCCGGCTCTATGACGATGAACACGACGGGGGTGATCGGTGGTGCTGCAACTCCGGTGATGTTACATGGCCGCCGGTGCTGCAATGGAGCATCGCCGGCTCTGTGACAATGAACGGGACGTTGGGACGATGGTACTGCAACTTTGGCGTTGTTAAACGGCTGGCGGTGCTACAATGGAGAATCGCCGACTCTATGGTGATGAATGCGACGGGCGGCCAATGGTGCTACAACTCCGGTGATCTTACGTGGCCGCTGGTGCTGCAATCTTCGCCCACCGTCATGCTTCAAGCTGCAAGGCTAGCGACCGCTACTGTTGCAAGCTGGCCGGGCACGGCTGCTCGACGGAGTCACTCAGATGCTGCGTTGCAGCATGCTCGGTCGGTTGCGGCAAGCTCGCCGGCGTTCTGCTGTGGCTGCTCGCCGGAGTGATATGAAAGCTGCATTGTAGCATGCGTTGAGGCTGGTCATGGCAAGCTTGATGGCGTTTCACTACAAGCTGACCGGCGGCGTGGCTACTGCAAGCGGGGGCCTTACGGGCCAGTGAGCTGACGCCCTCGTTGAAGCTACAGGCTAGCATGCAAGGCAACTGAGGTGCTGCTTTTGCAACTTTCGTGTCTGCCGCGGAGGCGCTGCGGGAAACATGGGCAGTTCGGCTCGTTCAGGGGATCAAGCGGTCCTAATCATTCCTAATCAGAATGAATAGACGGCTAGCAAGGCGGCTTATCCTTTCCCAGGATCAGCCGACTTACGCGTAGCAGTGGCCTTTTGTTTAAGGCACGCACGTGCTCATGCATACGCCGCTGCTAGTGCCTACAAATTGTTTTTTGTTATCGGAGAAAGCCAAAGCTTTTTCAATAAAAGGCGTTTTTATTAACTTAAAATATAACATCAATTGGATACAAAGTATGCGAAAATTCGCAGGGGCGCGTAGGTGCGGGGACACGCACTTACCGGGCAAGCAGCTGCGTCCGTTCATGCAGTGATTCGTGCACTTGTGTGTACTAGAAAATCATGAGAAAGCACCGGTAATTTATTTATACTATCAATGCATTTGAGTACGGTTCAGTATACATGTGGTTGAGTTGGTTAGGTGGACAGTGGTATCCCCAACCCACCAGGGTTCAAATCCTGGTGCTCGCATTATTTCTGGATTTATTTTAGGATTTCCGGCGATGCGCTTTCAGTGGGAGGAGACGTTTCCGTCAACGACGAGGCGCCTACGGTGACTTTGTAAATCTCAAGATGATATGCCGGCTCAGTCTCTCGGAGGTGCTCATAGGGGTAGGGTGTGCATGTGTGCGTTCATAGGGGTGAGTGTATGCGCGTATATATGAGTGCTTGTGTCTGTACTGATGTTTAAAAAAAGTATACATGTCGTACAATTGTCGTCTATTTTTTTTTACTACGGAAGAACCTTACATGTTTACTTTTTTATTTCCTGTTCATCTCCTTCCTCCCGCCTTTGCATTCTTAAATGGAGCGAACTCTTCTTCCTTCTGTACATTGTCACTGTTCTTTTATTTTGTCTCATCTGTTGCTTTCTATTTTGTTTGGATTCACCTAATTTCTTTGCTTTGTTTCTTCATCTACTATTGGTATGGGATCTTTCGGACCGGAGTTTGATGGATTAAAATTGCAATTTGACAGGTAATTTATTCTGTTACTCCTTCTTGCTTACTCACATAGGCCATTCATATCTTTTCATCTCCCATTTTATCGAGTGAGTGGATTTATTGATGCAGATTTGTGGACCTTAGATCATCTGATGCAAAGTCTTGTTTACCTACTCATGTATGTGCGAAGGATTTTGATATTACTAACGTTTAGTCATTAGACGATTCTGGATCGACAGCTGGGGAAAATAGTCATCTTGCGCAACCAACTTCTTTCACAGATCGATACATTCAAGAGTCTAAATATATTCGTGTTGTCGATTCAGTGCCAATGGATTTGTCAGTTTACTGCGAATACTGCCACCAACATACTAGCTGATTCTGAAATCTCTTCCATCTATATAAATAGTTTATTTCTTTACTTTTCAAGCTACATTATTTGAAACTTGCTGCATTTAAGTTTCATTCATGATGCACAACAATGTAGCGAAAGTGCAAACCATTTACTGAAAAGTTATATACCCACTCTTTCTCCAATGCAGAACTTCGTCAAACAATACCAGAAAATGCAATTTGACCGAGTGTCTGAAGAAAGTTATGAAGAGAAAAGAACAGCCCCCGTAAGATTTTATTCATTACTTATATAGTATGTTTTTATTGTTTTCTTTCGTTCAGTTTGTGCAATCTTTCAATCCCATATTAATTTCACTAGTTTATTACAATATTACACTAAAGTGTTACTAAACGTAGAAAGTGCATCACGAGTTTTTTTCTTCCACCGGAAGAAAGAGGACCTTTGGCTAGGGTCTCACGTGCCTCTAGTCAGTGCCGTCGCCGGTCTACCTCGTCTTGTGTGGTCTTAGGGCCATGAAGACGTGGTGGATCCCGACCTTTGCCGGCGGGAGGCCTCCGTTTTTATACTCTTTTGAGTTTTGTTAGGGTTGGTGCCCTGCTCAGAGAGGCAAGGTGGCGGCGTCTCTCTGCGGATGAAATAAGGTTCTTCCCGCCTTGTCCCTGTCTCGATGGTGTTTCTGGCATCGTCGTAGCGCGTGTGGAGGTTTTTCTCCGGCGAATCTCGTGGGATTCGGTCGGCATTTGTCTTCGGTGAATCCACATGGATCCAAATTTAAATACTTATTGTTGGGGACATCCATATCCCCATTGAGGTAACTTAGTGATTTACGAAAGTTCTTCGGTTTCATGCTAATCGAAGGTGGTTGTTAATAAGACTTGATCGACCTTATTAATGAATAATTTTTAAACAGTATGAAGTTGATGAATTTAGTAAGCACTACTTTCTGTCCCTACTTTTCATTTTCTGTTTTTATTAATAAAATAAAATAAAAATGCCATGTTTTGTCTGTTTTCTGAATTTCTCGTGCAATAAAAAATGACCAAAAAACAAAAGTTCTTAAAATGCCCTAAAAAATTTACACTATTTTTGCTGAATATTTGAGAATTTTTGGTGTAATAAACATCAGAGGGAGGTGCACCAGGTGGGCACAACCCACCTGGGCACGCCAGCACCCCTAGGCGCGCCCTGGTGGGTTGTGGTCCCCACGTGGCCCCCCTCACTTACCTCTTCATCCCACATCATCACTTACCTCCAGAAAAAAAATCTCCATTGCTCTCTCTCCCGTGTTCTTGAGCTCAAACTCGCGGATTTCGATCTCTTTGCTCGAACCTCCGTTTCTGAAACTGTTTCGAGGGATTGTTGCTTGGTATGTGACTCCACCGTTTGTCCAATTAGTTTTTGTTTTAGTGGTTTATATTTTGAATAATTAGCTACTCTTGGTGCTGTTGTAGATGTGCTTGCATGTTAAATTCTTAGTGTTTTAAGTAGTTTGAATGCTTGCTATGACTTCTATGTACCCCTATCAGTAGTTGTTATCAATTTTATAAAGTTTTTTTGACAAATTTTTGTCACCCCCCAAATTTTTTTCTTCAGAAAATTGTACGCGGACATGAATATCTTCAGGAAGTTTGGCTCGAAGAAGAACTCCAAGGGTGTTATTGGGAAGTCTTCTGATAGTGATCTCCACCCTCAGAGGTTGGCCGAGGTACGGCCGTGTGAATGGACGCACACCCCGTTCCTGAAAGAGGCTGGAAGCCTTCAGGAGTTCACACAATATGTTGCAAATGCCGGCCTCACCGACTTCATTGCAGATGAGTGTGACCAGCACCAAATTCTCACAAATATGTTCATTGAGAGTTTTACTTTCCTGCCTAGGAATAATCCTCCTGAAGTGAGCTTCAATTTATATGCTAAAGACCATCAGATACCACTTACTGAATTTTGTGATATATACTTGATCCCCTCTGATGGGAGCTTAGCCGAGCCTAGGCCGGCTGGGTTTGAGGATTTTTATCGCACTTTGACAGTGGAAGATGAGAGAGGGGTGTCAGCCACTACCGCTGCTAGCATACACTTTCCTATCGTACATTATTTTGGTTTATTTGT